ACACTGTTATTATTATACAATTGCAATTTTGTGCGCTCTTAAAACAAGTAACTGCACATGCGCTCTTTTGATCAGGCATGGATTTGCATTGGAATGCTGATTTCGTTTTTATTTATTTTTTTCTTCATTATTATAATTGTAAACACATGTAATTATTATTATTAAGTATTCACTTTTTTCTGTTATTGTTGTTTATTAGGTTATAATTATTTTTCTAGTAGCTATGGAATATTTATTATCGCTCAAATCACCTTTTTTTATTTAATTCATCGGCATTACAAAATGTTGTCACTTGCTCACTCACGATTGAATTGCGAAAAAATCAAATCGAAATCAAATCAAATACATAACACATTTATTTTAACAAAAACGAAAACACTAGTGGTGGCAGCAGACAGGGTAGAAGAAGAAACTAAAGAGCACAATGTGTTTTTTTTGCTTGCTATTTATTTTCTTGACGTAGTTGTTTCTCTCACACTAACAACATTTTTAGCTCTTTACACATAATGTTTCATTAATGTTTTTTGAGGGGGGTTTAATATTTCGTTCTATTTATTTTTGTAAAAACAGTGTGCAAAAATTGTTCACATTACTTTATACGAGCTATTATCGCGAGGTTTTATTTAACACACACATTAAGTAATGCGTTAATATTCCGACCGTTATATGTTCGACAATATCCGACAATTGGCCACCTGCTTCGTATGTGTAACAAAATAACACTGACTGGCAGTGGTTGAAATTATTTTTGAATAAAGCTTTTATTTTTTCCGTCTGTTATCAAGAGTTCTCTCATTCTCTGTCTCTTTTGTATGAAAGAGAAAAGCAGTCAATTAGAGAGTGGGGTTTCTCACAGTTATGGTTACTAAGTAACCATTTATTTATTTTTGAAGTAGTTAATAGAAAAAAGGCGCCAAATAATGTAAAGCTTTGGGTGTATATTTATTAGAGGGGGTAACTAAATTCGGGGATTTAAAGCTGAATACAAAAATATATAAATAAAAAATACAAATAAAAACATGAAAATTAATATTCTCCGACAAATATAAAAAAACATTAATATCCTCCGAAAATTACATATTTTCTTTGTCATTCCCACTGTACCTCCTTCTAGAACAGTGGTAAGCGCGAATGACTTTGGTCTAAGTTTAAGCAAATTTTAAAACTATGTTATATCGGGGTTGATTATTTTAATAAAGACAAGCCATCAAAATAGAATTAGACGTATTTTAAACAAATTATGGAAGCGATTTAAGGAAACTAAATCGACTCGATTTCTAAATCGAGATATTAAAACGAGATATTTATATAAAATCAGTCAGCTGATATTTGTTTACCAGTAAAAATTTTAATAGGAAGGAATCTCTATAGGGTGAACAAGTTAAAAATTTTTAAGTTCGGTCGGTCCGAACTTTAGATACCCTCCACCATAGGTATACTGACAAATACTTGAAATGAAAATATACGCAACATACCAAAAAGTGAACCTATACCGATAATTCTACAAACCGAATTATGTAAACCATTATGTACACCAAATAAAAATTTTAGCAATTTTTAATGACGATTTTTCCTAAAATCTGAAAAAGCGTGGACTGATACTAATAACGCAAGGAAGAGTATACAATCCTTAAACTACTCCAATTTAGATTGCAAAGTTATATGAGGCTGTGCCTAAAGGGGGGCCAATATTGACTACATAGTGTAGGAATTAGCAAATATTTTTGGTTATCATTATATGAGGGCTATGTCTAATTAGTGACCGATATATGTCAATTTGGAACCCAATATTTAATTTTTGTATCTCAATTCTTTCCTTCAGGTGGTATAATTATATGGGGGAGATGCCTAAATGCCTGCCGATATATTTCAATATCGTCAGGTTCGACTTTTTATCACGATATCTTTATAAGGCTGAATGATTACAACAGCAGGCTAAATCGTCTTAGAATTCCACACATTTTAGGGAAAAACTGACTACTCTGAGTAACGACTTTCGCTCATACTATGGCAAAATACGTATATATGGGGACAACCCCAAGTCACGGAACAATTCAGCTACCTATGTTAATGGGGACTACCTCTAAAAGGGGGTGAATATTAATAATTTTTTGTAGGGAGATTTGTTACCATATACGACTACAAAATACCAATTTACAGCTAATTCGGTTGAAAGAATCTCAAAATACCGAAAATTGGGGGTGTCCTTATATAGTGGCTAAAATTGAGCTATACTTATAATTTTTAGTGGAGAGAATTGCCACCCAATAAGAACTCAAAGTACTAAATTTCAGCCAATTCGGTCTAAAAATGAGATCAAAACACTCAAAATATTGAAAATTAAGGGGTACCTTTATATGCGCGGTACCAGAAAAATTTAATCGATATTTATAATTTTTGGTTGAGATATTTGTTAACCAATGTTCCAAATTTCAGCAAATTCGGTTGAAAAACGCGCTCAAGAACCCCAAAATACCGAAAATTGGGGTGGTACCCTTATGTGGCAGCTATGCCTAAACATGGACCGATATATTCCATATATCCCTATGCAAAATTTCAGCACCCTATCTCAATTCCATCAGAAGATAGCGTCGCTACAACACTGTTTGCTACACTAACTGTTTGGTGATAGCGGACTTTAATGCACACCATTAATTCTGTGATTGCCACCTAAGTAATCACCAGAGGACAACAGTGCTGCAGAGCAAATTGGAACCCTGAATGAAGATGCTTCCACCTGAATAAGGACCGCTATAACCACAGTTCGCCTGATATAACCATCGATTCCCCCGGTTTGATTAATGGTCTCAAATGGTAATCCGTCATTTCATTTGGACCAGACCACCTTCCTATAATTGTCTCCACCAGCGGAACGACTGATTTCATAAACTCTGAACGCTTATCTTTTCTTAGTCACAGGAAAGCAAACTGACAAGGTTTCAGAGTTGACCATCCATCACTTCGTAGAACTTTTCAGAACTTCTGATGTACGGGTAGCAGAAAGAAAACTTAGGGACATAATTACTGCTGCTGATGGAATACCCAATATTAGATTTGGCTTCCCATTATAGGCAGTCAGGCAAATTAGCGTGAAAAACCTCTGCTGATCTAAGAGTCAAGGAACTCATGTTAGTCGTGAAGCATAAGAAGCTTTGAGACAAAGCCCTCCATACGTCGATCACCCTTATGGATGGCTGTTTGTGTCGGGGTGTGCTCAATAGCCTTTTTCATTGCCTTTTGACTAGGGTTAGACTTCGGATCAGAAATCAGCTTCAGGTATTTGTCAGACACAGTGGGCTTCGCGTGCGCGTAAATTCTTTTGAACTTCCTTACGAATTTCATCTTGCCCTTGATGAAATGAACCTCCCACTTCGAAAGCAAATTCGCATCTCGCCCTACGAATTTGCGGAGATAAGATAAGGCACGTTTATAGTGCTCCGCATCGGATGCTTCTGGGGAATCTTTGTTCATTGCTGGGGTCTCGATAGATTCCCCATCGTCCGACATCGCTTCAGTAGCGGTCTGCCTTTGAAATTTATTGTTGGCATTTGCCGACACAGGACCTGTTGTAGTCAGACTTGTGTTTCGTCGGTCAACAGGGACTACACTTTCTTCGTTGATGCTACAGTAGTAGCAGTTCCTTCGGAAGTGTATCCACACTTTGCTCTTCCGGTACAAGCCTGTCCAGGTGGTCGAATAGTTCCCTACTCTGTTCCTAAGGGATAGCTCTAAGGGTCCCATGTAGGTCGTCACCTCCCAGAACTACCGTGCTGTCAGTCGTAGACTGATTATTATCAGTCTTGACTAGCTCGTTTTCCATATAGCTCCAGGTGCCAAGGCATCCACATCTAGAGCAGCCGAATGACAATTGCTTGATTTCGAGGACGTGTGGTCTCACCAACGATTGCCGCCGGTACTCGGTTATAAACTCCCTGCACCGTAATTTTATTTATCCTATTCTCTTTAACCATCTTAGTTAATTATTTTAAGGCACTACCCCCATCCATTTTGGTCCACGGGGGATACGAAGATCCCCAAGTTTTCCACGAAGTGCAGAGAAACTATCTGGCCTAGTTTGACTAAGGCCAGCTCCACCCTGCATATCGCACAAACCCCCTTCTCATCCGTCACTGGGGAAGACGCGCCTAGTAGGAGATTGGCAACTCCCCTATTACCCTAATATGGGAATATATTTTTTCTTGGGAGCCGTACCCGATTCTACGGAATCCATTTCTATTGAGTGGTTACATGAATACGTTTGGGCGATACAGTAAAAAAACGTTCTTTGGACCCGGATTTTTTAAAAACAACTCTAAAACTCAAACATGGGCCCATTATAGTCCCTAAAACATCCTGTCCCAAATGATAGACTACACTTAGAGCAGTTCCAATATTGCGGCTGTATCTGTTTTGGATCAAAAAATATGGACCCTAGAAACCAACAAATAATCTGTTAAAATGAGATTCTGTCTGTTCCTCTGGAAAAAAAATCAAAGAAATCTGTTCGTTTTTTTAAACTAGAGTTGTTCTTGGTTATTTGGTAATCGAACTCTGGAAATCCGGTTAATAGAACATCCGTCACATTTAACTAGGAACGAAGACGGTGGAGACAACCATCTGCAATACGAACGGGAACGACGAAGAATGGAACGAAATGAAATAAAGACCCCTCATCTAGTTCCAATCGTTCCATCTACGGAATTGTTGCTGTTATGCTTCGCAGTCATTCGTAAACATGACGGTAGTCCACCATTTTCATTTTGATCTGCTCTTTATCGGTTATTCTCTCCTATCTCCCCTATTCGCAAAGTTTGAAACGTTTTTCGATTAGGTCCATCATTTTTCATTCGTTCGTTCTTCGCTACAGCTTTAGTTACGTTCGTTCGTCGTGCTGATTAAGTCGGGCTGCGTATCGTGTGCTTTCGTTGTTATTTTTTTCAATTTTTTTCTTATTGGAGTTTTGCTAGAACAATATTCACCAAATTTTGAACGCTTTTGTTATGGACTATACAATTGTGGATTTTTATGGGCCACAAAAATCACGATGTGGTTATTGTAAGGGCACCCAATGTTCGGTGGGAGATGGTAAGTTGTGCGTTACGGCTGATTGACTGATTGTTCCTTATACTGCGTTGCTGGTAAAATCTAATTTTTTTGCGATGCTAAGGGGCAAGGTAGGGAGAACTATTTTCAACAATATTAGTTGCCAATAAAGGAGGACCATTGTAAATATTGATATTCTATTTATAATTTCATTCATAAAATGTTGAAAAAAATAATCATTTTGAAATTATCTATTACAGATTAGAGGTTTGGATTTGCAAAAAACAAAAAATAAGTTACCAGTCAATACGAAATAAGTTAGGAGAGATAATACAAAATAAGTAGTTGTTGTTGTATTCTTTGTATTAATTCATTTTTGTTTTAATTTTTATAGTAAGCTGAGAAAAACAGGTGCCTTTGCCAGAGGCTACTAGACAATCGGAATTGTGATGCCCAGACATATCTGCGGGATTAATTGATAATTATATGATCATCATCATAATTTTACTACGAATGTTATTGACCGACCTTAAGTTTTAATTTGTATTTCCTTTATTCAACTATCAACACCGGTTAAAGCTCCCCATACCACTTGGATTTATAACACCTTTCCAGTGGGAGTTCTGCAGCCTTTGTTGTTTTACACAATTACATTTTGTATAAACAATGTACCTCCGAAAACAAGTTTTGTTGAGAATAGATATTCTGTTGCACTTCGATATTTTTTTTTTATTTATTTGTGACTAATAGCAGGAAAAAATGTTCTTTGTGCGCTCTAGTAAATCAATATGTGCCAGTGTATTTTCGTACAGAATTCTGTACATATATGTGGGCATTTAAGTTGCGGATGACGTGTGCCCTTTTTCTATTGCAAAACAAAACAAAAAACCGCACACAACTTTTTTTTTTTTGTATACAATATTTATTTTTATTTATTTATTTTCTTAACTAAAAATATCGCAAAAAGTGAATGCATTACCCCGCACTGAAGAAATCTCGAAATTCATTGAACTCTCAGTCGGGCTGTTTCATAAAAAAGCGTATCTACGTCATTCAAATGCAAAGGAGAATTTACATAATTTTGAATACCATAAATTGGATGAGTTCAAGTCTCATTGAAAATCAACTGCAATTTTAAAACCCGGTGGGGGCAGCATAGGACCTTTTGGAACAGGTTTAGTTTAGGGCCGAGTAGAAGATCGATTTGAAAACTATTCTATTTATTTGCTTATTTGGACGAACTCCGGTTCTGAGACTCCTAACCTCCTAGCAGAAACCCATTTCCCAGGTTGCAAAGATGTTGATGTCATCAAAATTGAATGTGATGACAATCAACCTCTTGTGATGACAATCTTAACCTCCTAGCAGAAACATTGAATGCGACGACACTCAACCTCTTGCGACTGTAGATTTGGATCTCATTGGCAAGGTGGTTAGCAGAAATAAGATACGTTGGGCATTCAACACATTCAAAGCATATAAATCACCAGGGGCAGATGGTATCACACCGGCGATGATTCAATTTGCCTCGTCAAGTATATATGTGATCCTTGAGAAGATCTATACGGCGTGCTTGACTCTCTCGTGCGTTCCGGGTCTAGGGAACGAGGTAAAGTTTACTTACATTCCCAAAGCGGGTAAACCAAGTCACTCTGCACCAAAGGACTATAGACCCATTAGCCTATCATCCTTTCTACTCAAGACTCTCGAATGATTGATCGACCTGGAGATTAGGAGTCGTGTAGACACCACCTCTCTTAGCAAATCGCAGCACGCATAAATAATCTGCACTGCATGAGGTGGTATGTTATGAATATAGAAGGAGCGTTCAATAACGTTAAACTTTAGTCCGTAAACCACTCACTTTTAAAATTTAGAATTCCTGAAACCCTTACTTGCTGGATAGATAAAATGCTAAATAGCTGAATTATAAATTCAACTGTTGGGGATACGAAAATCAGGAAAACAGTAACAAGAGGTACTCATCAGGGCGGGGTACTCTCACCGTTGCTATGGCTATTGGTAATCAACAATATACTGATGGAACTGGACGAGAATGGTACGAAAGTCGTAGCCTATGAGGACGACGTAGTGATATTGATTTCCGAAAAAATTTCCGTCAACAATCTCGCAGCTTATGCAAAGAGCCTTATCGACACTGTCACGCTAGGCCAAGGCTAACGGCTTTGGAGTAAATCCAACAAAGACAACTGGTAATGTTCACTAGCGTCTTTGCTCCACCAACACTGGATGGAGTGCAGTTTCACCTGTCGCCCGAAGCAAAATACTTTGGCACAATCCTGGACTGTAAATTACGATGGAATAGGATCACCGAGGAACGGGCGAAGAGAGGACAGATTGCAATCTATGCATGCAAGACCTCCACTGGTTGTATAACACGATGGTAAGGCCCATTCTTTCCTATGGTTGTCCTATTTGGTGCCTCTGATTGCGCCACATGTTGACATCCAGCAAACTAGACAAGGTACAAAGAGCAGCCTCGATTCTAAGTGGAAGCACCCCACAAGCAGCTCTGAACGCAATGCTGAACTTAAGGCCTCTGTACCTCAGCATTAAGTGTCAGGCAGCGCGTAGTGCCCTAAGGCTGCATGAACAAAATCTATGGCGAAATTGAACCTATGGGCATGGATGTATCCTGAAGGAACTAAGTATGACATTGGGCCAACGCTTAAAACAAAGCGACTATATATCATCAGTCCTGAGATTTGATATAGATGTCGTTATCCCTAGTAGAAACGACGGGAACCGTAGCAACCCTCCTCTGAACGGTCTGGCGTTTTATACAGACGGATCCTAGATGGGAGAGGTACAGGGCCAGCCCCTCGTCTACTGTGAAAGGCTAGGCATTGAGCTTACCTACAAGCTGGATAGCAACTGTAGTATTTTTTAAGCTTAAATCTTCGCTATTTGGAAGGCAACGGAATTGATAGTCAAGAATGGATAGTCAGGCAGCTCTTAAAGCCATCAAATCCTGTAACATCAAATCTGAGATCGTCCTCGAGTGTAGAGCAGTTTTTAGAAACACTCACAGCTATCAGCTGTGTTGGGTATCAGGACACCGTGACATCATGGGTAATGAAAAAGCAGAAGAAAAGAATTAGCTAGACGAGGATCTCAATCTCAATATCAATCGATTGCTCAATTAAACCACCCATCTGCCATCTTTGAGGCGTTCTTCGACGAACGAGCCAATGAACTCTGGCACAACGAACCTTGGTGCAATGTGTCTATCGGACCGACTCTGTCAACCAAAAGAACAAACTCACTGTTGAATCTGAGGAAAGCTGCATGATGTTACTGATTACTGCAGACTCTATGCTGACGAGGAGGAGACGCTGTTCTGGCCTACATACGGCAAAGACTAGTGGGTGCTCACTTTCCACCGTCTCTAAGCTTCTTTTCAACTATGGAACCTGCAGATTTCTCTATATCTGTTATGGATGATCACAATGGACCGAAAAGTCTCAGAGTGCTGAAGACACATTAGTGACTGCACATCCCCAAACCTAACCGATTCCGAAAGAAGATCTCTTGGTATTCAATATGAAGACCTATTGGCCGAAAAAAGTGAATACGTACGAAGGAGCTTAAGAGCTAATAAAAAATTGCTTCTTCTTAAGAATATTCTTGGTCTTCAGTAATATATTTTCGACCGCTATAAAAATACCTTATGGTCTTTAATTGGACGAAAACCTTCATCGCTTCTTTTAGAAGATATCTTGATCGTTGTGATCATTGATCATTGTTTACCCTCTACTTCTTTACCGCTCTCAGAGACTTTAAACGCACAGAAAAATATTGTTGACCTAGGTTCGGATTCGATAAGAAATATTGCAGAAAATTAACTCTTTAAAAAAGGAATATGGACACATATTAAATATGTGTCTCTATGATTCGAGAATATGAAACACAAATAAGAAAACCGAAAATATTCCATAAATAAATTAATTAGAAAAAAATCATACATACAAACATACACACACCTTTAACATTAAGATGACTACAATTCGGCGCCAAAAAAAAAAAAAAAAAAAAACACAAACAAATTAACAATATATTTGTGGTTAATACACCTAGCCGGTTTAGTTATTGGCCAAATGTTTGGCACACCAGTTAATATACATAGTTCCACAACTATTATTTCGGATGTATTTAAAAATAAATGATTTAGCAAAAAAACCAAATAATAAAAACGTCAGAATATAGAAGAGAGCAAATTTTTATGTATGCAAATATAACCTGTTGTTGTTGTTACTGTTATTGTTTGATGCTTTCTGTTTAAATATTACGGTTCGCCCAACAAATTTTATGTAAATAAACCAATGTCAAGGTCAAGTGGTGGTGATACGTTTAACAAAAACTGTTTGAATATTAAGAATGAGCAAAGCAAAAGTGGCAAAAACTCTGAGATAAAAAAAAATCCAAACAGTTATGAGTAAAATATGTATTGCCTAGGATTGATTGATGAAAAAATAAAATAAAAAACATTGCTAACTAAGAAGCTGTGTATTTGAAATTGATGAAATATGTGTGTGCTTGAGCTAATGTTTTTAAAAACGAAGTATATTGAACCCAGCTTGTTTAGAATTTGCGTTTACACGTGCCGTAAAATTATAATTGTGTGTGGAATTTGTTTTCGTAATTTTAAAATTGTGTGGATTTCAACGATAACATTTCGCAATTATCGCAGATAAAACACACATGATTTTTTCTTCTTGATTTTGAAACATATTTTAATAATAAAAAAGTTCGACTCGAAAGAGATAAAACTGATTTAAAGCTCATTCAAATGATCATCGCCCATACAGGCAAAATTCAAATAAATACAAATAATTAGAACTACTTAATAATATAATCATAAAGCTACGAGAGTATACAGGAAGACACAGCAATAAAATAATAGTAATTTTGTTTTTTTATAGTGATGTTTGAGATTTCTGTGTTCCTAAAAATACCGGTTCTCCGAATGATTAATCAATGAAATTAATAACAATCTGGATACTGGGAACAGGCCTTTGAAAACTGAATTCAATTTATACAGACCCGACTATACTTCCAGCTTCATAGATCACCTGAAGAAGTAATCTTCCTGCCTAAGAACCCCTTTTCTAGGCAACGGTACCTTGTTACTTTATGAGAATATTTTTTAGTCTTTCGTAAGAAAGGTTTTTTTATGTCCTTAGGAATATGTTTCTTTTTTTTTTTTGTCATATACAAAGGACTCCCCCATAGAAGACCTTTCTTCCCTTTAACTGGAAACCACATTTGTCTTGCTGGAGAGTAATAACTTTTGTCTTCTATAAAAATACCGTGTTGCCATTCTCTAAAAAAAATATTAGCAGTTGTAATTGATAATTTGCTTAACATCGCAAAGCATGCTGCATATGTCAAAGGGAAAGACCTCAGCTAAAATAAAGAACTGAAAGCTCTGACAGATACCTCCTGTGGAAAGGATAGTCCTGCCATTTTCTACATGAATATGATTTTTTGTTTTCTATTTTGTGTCTTTTATAAGAGATTCTTTTTCTCTTTAACATGTTTTTCTTGTTGAAGAGCATTAACTTTTTGTCTTCTATAAGAAGACCATGTTGCCATTCTCTATAAAAATCTTGTACCGAAAAATATTACATAGTATATTAAAAACATGTGCAAATACAAATAAGACTGATGATCGAAGAATTCCGACAGTCCATCGTACCAAAATATTGAAATTTGTATTGATAATCTGCTCAACTTCACGCTGCTCATGTCAAAGGGAAAGTCCTCAGTCCTATCTTTTCCCCTCCTGGGAAAGGATAAAGAAACACTCGCCATGAGTTAAGCGACACACAATACCGTAACCGTCAAACGATCCAGAATAGTGCTCTGATGATTGCTACCATATGTGTCAAAATGTCGAGTGTGAATTATTTTCATGAGGAGACAAGGATACTGTCAGTACAGAGTACAGACAGTTCATTCTGGATTGTCACCATAACCATCACATCGTTCTCCACCACGGCTCATCCGGAAGAACATCAGACACTTTCGCTCAGATATCGTCAACAACGGCAGGTCTGAAACAGCTGCACCGTCAAGCGGTTAATCAAGCAGTCGAGGATATTTCCTGAATAAAGTCAGGAGGCAATCTGCATAATGCCTCTCCAGATTTACAAGAACAACTCTAGCTCAACATTAATAATTAGCAATCAAGAAATATATACACCTCTAAAATACATCCGATCAATGCCCAAACTGTCCACATAGATGACAAATCATCTATTTCCTTGTCCATTTAGGCAAGAGCTGCTTTTAGGTAGAGCTGACAATTAGCGGTCCGGATGGACTGATGTTGGTATGGCGGCCTTGGCACCCTCAGTCTCGAACTCTACAATGCCAGATCCCAACAAACCTCCACAAAACGATGATGACCAATGCCTATGCACCGGACTATTCTTCTGTTTCTTCAAATCCCATCACTCTCGTCAATGTCAATACCTGGAGAGGCATACGGACCTTCTCCTTGACCTCATTGAGGAAACCGGTTCCTTCCGTCTTAGTCAGGAGAGTATCCCGACACATCTCTGGCATGACTCGCCCTTGACAGACGAGGAAGACGCTATGGATACCACTCTGATTAGCACTATGGCGATTAACACAATGTCTATACTCCTCCAAATCCCCAGGGATTTTCTCTATCTTCCCCCTGCAGCGAAATCTCGAGACTTCTAAAGTAGACTGGCTGCTGAAGTAGAGGTTGATGACCCTCATATGGAAACGATGGATGAATTATCAGCACAAGAAACTAGCAAACCCCCACGACAGAGGAGTCTACGATCCGAAACGAAACGAGCCTTTCTTTCTGTCACCTCAGCTCATGGTGTAAAAGCAATAGGACTGCTACAACAACAACAAACAAATGCTTCAATGCCAAATAGATCTCTGACAAGAAGATTTGCCGGAGTTAACTTCTGTACTCGGTTTATTGGACGGGACGAATCTTAAATTTATTCGGTAGTTCTCTCGGATCTTTCCGAATGACATTGCGAGGCATTTCATAATTGAAAGAAAAATATTTTTTCAGGGAGCCAATAAATCGTTGATTTATTAAAGAATATTTTTTCAGAGCCCAATATGTCGTGGATTTATGAATGAAAAACATTTTCTGGCACCAACAAAACGATAACTTTTTTAGGAACACCCCAAAGTGAGCATTTTGTAACGAAAACAATATCAGTGGCCTTATTCTGTAACTTTTAACAACAATCAATATTGTTTAATTTTCTTTTGTTATTGTAAAAACAACAAAACAAATGAATTGGTTGTAAAATAAATTTTTCGTAAAAACAAATTTTTAAAGGACCCAAGAAAGCGGGGGCATCGTGAAGAAAAATTTGGTAAATGAATTATTGACTTTTATTTTAGTACCCCTGAACGCATGATGTGTATCACAACGTATACGCCGTGGTGTTCCATTTTAAATTGTCGCTCCAAAGGAGGAAAAGAAGACTGAGTAGTCTGAGCACGATGATGCCTGGGACTTCTGATCACCTCTAAGGCATCTCTGAGTGTTGAGATGTAAAGGAAATTTTTCAGCGACACCATAAAGTGGTCATTTTTGTAACGAAAAGATTTTCAGGGACCCCAATAAGTGAGGATTTAATAACGAAAAAAATTCAGGGACCCAACAAAACGAGGATTTCGTAAAAACGAATTTTTAAGGGACCCAAAAATTTGAATTACTAATTTTTATGTTAATACCTCTGTACGTATGATGTGTGTCACAACGTATACGTCATGGTGTTTTATTTTAAGTAGCCGCTCCATAGGAGGAGAAGACTGTGAGCTGTCTGAGCACGATGATGGCTGGGACTTCTGATCAGGGATACCTGAGTGTTGAGATGTCCCTGACACCATCCTCCATTGCGAAGGAGGGCAAGGTTTGAGTGTCGAAATAGGCCTGAAGGAGAATTAAGACCCGTAGAAATTAACAAATCTTTCATTCAAGATCATACCAAGTAACTTTTCAGGTCCTTCACATAGACCATTCAAATCGTCACAGTATAGCATGCTAAGTTAAAAGATACAGGCATTTTTTAAGTCTTTTAGATTATCCCCTTCATCAAATCTCAAATTTCACTAAAGATGTACACTATAGCCCTTTATCGACATATATACATATGTACTTATAAGAGGCTTACTATAAACACTCTTTTCTTTTTTACTAATCTTTCATATATCCCCTCTTTCTTGCAGGCATGCACGCTTACGTTATGGCACCTCGGGATTATCAGGATTTAATAGATCGAGGATGGCGTCGCAGTGGCCATTATTGCTATAAACAAGATAATACAAAGACCTGTTGTCCCCATTACACCATTAAGTAAGCCGAATCAAATTCTTCACATTTAAAGGATTCAAACTAATTTCAATTCTACTTTTTTCAAGATGCGATGTATCGGAATTTAAATTATCCAAATCGCACAAGAAAATCATAAAACGTATGAATCGTTTTTTGCGTGATGGTAAAAGGGATAAAAATGAAGAGGGACAATCAACGCCGCAGACAACAAATGGCACGGAGAATGGTGACCGAGATGAGGATAGTAATGCAGCTATGGGTTGTGGTATACGTGAAGAGGTGCAGGCCCCAAATGTCCCCATAAAAGATATTAATTTGGAACAATTTGCCAAGGCCAATGGGGAAAAGGATAGTGAAGAGAAATCGGGGAAGGAAAAAACACCCAGTGTTGATGTACAAAAACCGATTAAGAAATCGGCAGAGGATGATGATACACCCAATAATAGTAGGAAATGTAAGATGAGGGATTTTTGCACATGAAATTGGTGTTAATATTTGAAACATTTCTTTTGTGAAATTCATAGCAGACAGTGACATTACCAAACCCCCCTGCAAGAAGGCCAAACAAATGCGTTTGGAGAGAAAATTGGCAAAACAGGCCGCCAAAGGCTTGCCTGCCGTGATTGAAAAGAAACCTCCCAGGAATCAAGAGAAAACCTTAAAGGAATTTCTCAATGAAGCCAAACCGGATGATAAACACAAGTTAAAGGTAAATATTTACACATAAACACACACACAAAGTAGTTTGCAACTTTTTTAGGTTGAAGAAAATGAAATACCAAAACCAAACAACAAACTTTTCCCCCTTTTTTTGAACTTCTTACAGATTGTTCTAGTACCTTCAAGTTCAAGTATTTACACGGCCACCACTTTTGATTTATATTGTAAATATCAACTAACCATACATAATGATAATCCCGAACGTTTAGAACCTAAAAAGTTGCAACGCTTCCTATACAATACACCCTTAAAGGTAAAAAATTTGCAAAAGCTAATGTTACTTTCCAAAATTCTATTCCCATTACAGTTCGAAATGATCCATGTGAGAAGTGAAGAGTTTGAAAAAACCCTACCACAAACATATGCACTATATGCCAAATATCAAACACACATACACAATGATCCACCGAATGCTGTACAAGAATATTTGGATTTTTTACAACGGTCACCGTTGAAGGTGGCATAAAAATTACATTAATTTTTATTTCCTTAATTTATGTTTTATATTTATACATTTTTGCTTTTTATTTTTATTTTAAATATAGCTTTCTAAGCCCTCGGATGGACCACCGTTGGGTTATGGATCGTTCCATCAACAATACTATTTGGATGAGAAACTTATTGCGGTGGCCGTCATTGATATCTTGCCATATTGTGTTAGTTCGGTGTATTTCTTTTATGATCCCGATTATAATTTCCTCTCCTTGGGTACTTATAGTTCTTTAAGGTAAACCTCAAAACCCCATAATTCAAAATCAAGCTATTAAATTTTAATTTCCTCTCTTTTCATTTCCCCACAGAGAAATTGAATTGGTACAAGAACTTTCAAAAACTGTTCCTGATCTTAAGTATTATTATATGGGTTTCTATATACATTCCTGCCAAAAAATGCGTTACAAAGGTAAATTATCTGGCTCCTATTTATTATGCCCGGAGGCATATACCTGGCACCCATTGTCAGATGGTAAGTTATTTTGTTTTTTTTTTTTTAATTTTTTATTTTAAATATGGAAGAAATCAATTTTTATTATTTTTTAGAGATCCGTTTAAAACTTGATACCAATAAATATCAACGTTTCAACGATGATCCATCTGCCCGCGATCCAAATGAATTTAAAGAAAGTGATATGGATTTAGTAAGACTGCTAATAGATGAAAGTACTTATGTCAAATATCGTCAATATAAACAGGTAGGTATTGTGGAAGCATTGCCATTTTTTTTTTTTTTTTTTGTAGCAGAATTGTGTTTTTTGTTATGATTTTATATTTTATTTAAATGCCGTCCTAAACAAACAATTAAAAAATTGTTCCAATTAATACATGAAGACCATGCAATCCTGTCGCTATAAAAAAGTGTAGCGAAAGTATTACGACTTTTTTTGAAAGTCGTCTTTTTAGTCGGCTAAAAAGTAGGATATTCGAGTAGAGACAAGAAGATCAAGCCCTGTATAGTGAAACATGCTGTTCCACAAGGTGGGATTATTTTCCCAGAACTGTTTAAACTTCACTTCTCTGGAATTAGATTATTACGTTGGCACACACTCATGGCGTCTGTGACAACAAATGATTACATTGTTACAGATTGAATAACTATATAGTTGACATAGCATATTCTTTTTTCATACGAAGTGTATGAAAACATATCTACCAAGTCGACCATGTCCACACTGTTTACTGCATGGACAACGTAGACGCGTCTACCTTTGAATTTGCCAATTGATGGGTCCACAATTTCGGCCACTAAGTACCCACAAGGTTCTATGTTTGACTGTGTAAGTCGTCGGTGTCCGCCCCATCTTTTTGCGATATGTTCAGAGCAGGAACAAAGTTCTATATTCATTAGCCGCCAGTACTTGGCGTCTAACTAAACTAACTGTAGCTTTGTGGGAGCAGAGTATAAAAGATAAATCGTCGCTATTTCCTTATGGGGAAGACTTAAATAAACTCCGCGTTAACAGGATTCAAACTTAGCTTGCTTGCGAGACATGAGAAGTTCTCCTTCAAGTAATTCTGTGGTTTAAAATAAGTCTAGGTATTCTACGTTGAAATGAAATCCATTCATTACGCTCATGCCGAATTTAGAGTATTTTTGTTTGAAAAAAGATATGAAACCGATAAAAACGGGCATCGGTCATTTAAGAGTTTCATACACAGCTTGGGCTCTGATCGACCATGGTTCAGAGGTTTCGTTCATATCTGAACACTTGCAAAATTGTCTCAAACTGTCCATTTAGTCAATCTCTGCCACCATTTCTGGAGTAAATAGTTCAACTTATGCCACTTCCAAGAACAATTGCTTCGGCACTTCATTAATTGTCCATGCTAATGCTTTCGTTCTTCCAAAAACATCTGAAAATCTTCCTTCAATAACAGTTAGTTCTAACCTCACTTCTTGCTTGTCCAACCTTCTTTTAGCCTATACACACCTGTTCAATTAAGTCCTGTAGATTTGTTGTTAAGTGCAGATTTATATCCCAAGATCTTGATAGAAGGGACGCAACGACATATTTTTCGATGCCTCCTAGTACAAAACACGATATTCGGCTGGATTCTGACGGGTATTATGCCTTCATACCCAGTCCAGGACTTTAGAACACTACTCAGTAGAGCTGCAGCTGCAGTAAAACAATAAGTTGGAAGGAGTTTTCATAGGTTGGCTAGGTAGGAGCCTTAATTAAGAAACATAAAAGGAGTATTTTTGGTAGACTAGGAGGATGTCTTTTTAAACGACTAAGAATGAGTATAAAAGATTAGGGAAAGAGTATTTCTAGACGACAATGAATGAAGTCCTTTTAAAAGCCTAAATGGAGTCTTTATAGACTACAAGGAAAGTGTATTTATACAGACGACTAGAAAGGGATATTCATTGACTAGTAGACGACCAGGAAGGTCTTTTTTGGAGGCTTTCATAGTTGACTAAGAAGTAGCCTTTATTAACAAATAGGAAAGGTATGAAAAATAAAATGAGGAAGACCAGAAAGCTCCCTTTTTGATGACTAGGAATGAGTATAAACGACTAGGGAAGGATTCTTTTTAGAAGCCTAGATGGCTGCCAGAAATGTGTCTTTATAGACTATAGAAGTATTTTTCGAAGACTGAAAAAGATTCTTTATAGACGAATGGGAAGGAATCATTGTTGATTAGTAGGAAATAGTATTTATAGACCTCTAGGAAATTGTCTTTATAGACGGCCAGGAAGGTCTTTTTATGGAGGCTAAAGGGAGTCTTTATAAACGACAGAGAAGGAATCTTATTTGCCGAGTAGAAAGCGGTATTTATAGGCGATTAGGTAGGGGTCTCTATAGATTAGGAAGGAGTTTTTATAAATGGCTAGGAAAGAGTCCTTATAACTGAATAGGAAAGAGGATTTATAGACAACTAGAAAGGACTTTTTATGAGATGACTGGGGAAGAAAGGAATTTTCTTTTTCGAAAATTTGAAGGGAGTCTCTAAAGACGTCTGGGAAGGAATATTCTTTGACGACTAATCGACTAGGAAAGAAGATTTATAGATCAAGAGGAAGAAGTCTTTATAGACGACTAGGAAAGTGTCTTTATAGACGATTATGATGGAGTTTTTTTTTCGAAAATTAGAGGGGAGTCTTTGTAGGCGACTGGAAAGGAATCTTCTTTGACGAATAAGAAAGATTGAAAAAAGGAGTCTTTAAAGATTACTCTTATGAAGGAGTTTTGATTGACGACTGGTAATGTTTATAGATGCATAATAAGAAGTCTTTGTGGAAGACTAGGAAGAGCTCCTTTTTGTAAGACTAGGGTGGAGTCTTTTTATAGACGTCTAGGAAGGAGATTTTATGGACGATAGGGAGGGAGCCTTTGTGGGCGACAAAAAAGGTCCATTTATGGGCGTTTAGAAAAAGATTTGTTTGTTGATGTACATGAATGAGTCTTTATAGACGACTTGAAAGGAGTTTTTATAGACGACTAAGAAGGAGTCATTATAGACGACTGAGGAAAACCCCCTTTAGACAATTAGGAAAGCGTTTTACGGAAACTACGAAGAACGTTTTATAGACAACTAGGAATATGTCTTTTTAGACGTTTAGGACAGAGTCTATATGGAAGACAATAAAGAAGTTCCTACGAAGTTCCTGCGGCAAGCAATCAGTCTTTTTCGAAGAGGGGAGTCTACATAGGTGACAGTGCGACAAGCAATCAGTCTTTTTCCAATCCCACGGCAGCGGGTTCTACGACACCGGATTGACCCGATTTATTTCGGCCAGCGGCTGCCAACCCAGTTATATATGTTTGTATTGTTTTTCTGTTTTGGGAGCAACATATCCCGGAATGCTTGCTCCGGATTCTTTTGGTCCGTGCCGGGATCGAACAAAACCCCGGACCGTGGTTCTGTTCGGTTTGCCAGAACATCATTCACCACAGGTCAGTGTCGGTGAGATGTAATGGGTGCAGGGAGTGGGTGCACTTCAGGAATTGTTCCGGGTTGGCCCGGTTGCGAGACTACAGCGATAGGGATTACGTTGCCTCGTGCTGCGACAGCGCAATCCCCAGTGAGTCTTCGTCTACGTCGTCGTCTTCTTCGTCGGAGTACGGAACTCCACCGCAGTCTCCCGAACAGCAACCAAGTACGCAGCACTTAACACCGCACGTTGCTGTTCCCACCCCTGATAGTGCATCGTTTCTGCAATTTAATTGCAACGGTCTCCGAGGAAAAATAGATGAGATAGTGGATTTCATGAATCGGAAGAATATTTTGGTCGCGGCGGTGCAGGAAACCAAGCTCAATGAAAATTGTAGCCTACAGCGTTGTGATGGTTACAACGTTCTGAGGAAGGATCGCACCAGAAGTGGAGGTGGAGGCCTAGCATTCCTTATGCACCACTCTGTTCAATACAGGCCTATCTCGCTTGAGCTTGACTCTAGTGACCCATACATGGAATGTATGGGGGTAGCAGTTAAATGTGGTACTGCCGAGGTAGAGGTGCTTAACGTGTATATACCGCCGATTAATAGCTGTGAACCGCGTTATTCGCCCAACATTAGTTTTCTATTGGAGGGCAATAACCGTCTGGTGCTAGGGGACTTCAATGCCCACCACGAGTTGTGGCATTCCGTCCTAGGTAATGACCAGAGGGGAACAGTGCTGGCAGAGCAAATTGATAGCTCCACGTTCTGCACGGTAAATGAGGATGCCCCCACCAGAATAAGGGGAGAGTGTCACAGTTCGCCAGATATAACCATCGTGTCACCGGGTCTGATAAATGACGTCAGCTGGCAGCCCGTCATTTCTCTTGGATCAGACCATCTCCCCATAATCGTCTCCATCAGCATACCGCCCGATTTTGTCATCTCTGAACGCCGCACTTTCCTTAACCATGGGAAAGCCAACTGGCAAGGATTCAGAGAGTTCACCAACCAACGCTTCAGAGAACTTTCCATTCCTTCTGATGTACGGGTAGCAGAAAGGAAATTCCGAGGCATCATCACTGCTGCAGCTGCTAGATTTATACCTGCTGGTCGAATACCCCAGATGAGACCCAATTTCCCAGCAGAAGCAGTTGTTCTGGCAAATGAGCGTGATGAGCTCCGTCGATCTAACCCAACAGATCCCAGGGTCAGGGAACTTACGTTGGAGGTCAGCAGATTAGTCGCGGAGCACAAGCGGAATAAATGGTTGGAGCACCTGAAGAGTTGCAACATTGGTACCGGAGTAAGTAAACTGTGGGCAACGGTTAAGTCGCTCTCGAACCCTGGTAAGAAGGATGATAGGACCTCAGTCACATTTAACGACGAAACTGTGACTGATCCGAAGAGGTGCGCAAGTCATTTTAACCGACAGTTCGTCGAGCATCCCGAGAGCGACAAGGCGAAGAGAAGAGTACTTCGTCGTATAAGATCAGTTTACAATGGGTGATGTTGCATGTGTCATCCGTAACGCGAAGTCATCAAAAGCGTTGGGCCCAGATGGAATATCCATGTGTATGCTGAAGCAGCTGGACGAGCCAGGAGTCGAGTACTTGACCAACGTCCTCAACTTGTCGATAGCCACCCACGTCGTCCCCGAAGCCTGGACTATGGGCAGGGTGGTCCCGCTACTGAAGCCGGGCAAGGATGCCAGCAAAGGTGAATCGTACAGGCCGATTTCACTTTTGTCGCCAGTAGCGAAGACTCTTGAGGCGTTACTCCTCCCCAGCATTAGAGAAAGCTATCCAGTTGCGGATCATCAACATGGATTCCGTAAGCAACACAGTACAACAACAGCGTTGCACGCCATTTCCACGCATATAAGTAGAGGACTTAACCAGAACCGGCCGTGCGATAGAACAGTGTTGGTAGCGCTTGACCTATCAAAAGCCTTTGATACTGTCAACCATGCCACGCTGTTTGAGGACATAGAGAACACTTCCCTCCGGCCGAGTTTGAAACGTTGGATAATCAACTATATGTGTGGACGCCAGTCGTACGTGGAGTTCCGGAACAAGAAGTCCAAACCCCGTAGAGTTAAACAGGGAGTTCCCCAGGGTGGAGTGATTTCTCCGGAACTGTTTAACCTCTACCTTTCCGGTATTCCACGCCCTCCGGACGGCATTGAAATCGTTACGTATGCAGATGATTGTACGATTATGGCGTCGGGTCCCATTGTTGAAGACATATGTGTGAGGTTGAACGCCTGTCTCATCGATTTGGCAGCCTTCTTCAAAGCGAGGAATATGAAAATATCCGCCTCGAAGTCGTCAGCCACACTATTCACCACATGGACTGCGGAGATGAGAATGCCGTTGAATGTGCAGGTCGAGGGGCATACAATTCCGACCACCAACTACCCCAAAATACTTGGGGTCACATTCGACAGCATGTTTAAATCGTCCGCGCAAACCACAGCTATCTGCGATAAGCTGAAAAGTAGGAACAAGGTCCTCAAGTCGCTTGCCGGCAGCACTTGGGGCGCAGATAAGGAAACCTTGTTGACCTCTTACAAAGCGATAGGTCGGTCTGTGGCTAGCTATGCGGTTCCAGTGTGGTCTGCGAATTCTAGTGATACGCAATGGAGAAATATTCAGACCTGTCAGAATGCCGCCCTGAGGACAGCGACAGGGTGCCTCCTCATGACACCAGTGGACCATCTTCATGAGGAGACGAAGATCCTTCCCGTACGTCAGCATAGCAATATGCTTTCGTTGCAGTACCTGCTCGGGTGTTTCAGGGACGATCATCCCAACCATCATATGGTGGATAGGACTCCCCCACCCAGGCGTGTCAGGAAGGATCTGCATGATCTAGAGAGAGAGGTCCAGCGATACAAAAGGGAGCCTCTAGATCAAGTTGCCTATCGAGCAGGTCTGAATGGCATTCATACAGATGCAGTAGCCGCAGCGCTGAACGGTTACAAAGTGAATGCCGTCCTCGGAGCTCACCCCCCACCCATAGCAGCTGAAGAACGTCAGCTGCCTAGACAAACCAGAGTAGTTTTGGCTCAGTTACGTTCTGGATGGTGCAGTCGGCTCAATTCGTATTGGGCACGGATTGATGACCAGGTGCAGGATGTCTGCCCAGCATGTGGTACAGGCCCTCATACCACACTGCACTTGTTCAATTGCCCAGCCAAACCTACTCACCTCACTCCGGAAGATCTGTGGTTACAGCCAGTGGAGGTAGCTGCATTTCTGAATCTGGAGACAGAACTGGAGGAAACATAACAGAAAACATGCAATTCATACAAACTGCTACAACAACAACATCAGTCTTTTTCGAAGAGGGGAGTCTACATAGGTGACAGTGAAGAAATTGTCTTTGACGGATAAGAAATGGGATGACTATGTAGGAGTCTTCATAGAAGTCTAGGTTGCAGTTTTTATAAACGTCTAGGAAAGACCCATTAAAGACGAATAGAAATCGATTACTAAATAGAAGTCTACATATGACTAGGAAGAAGATTTAATTGACGACTAGGGAGACGACTTTATAGACCTGTAGGAATTGATCTCTTTATTGACTACTAGGAATACATCCATATTGGCGATTATAATAAGGCTTTTTATACGACTAACAGCGATGATTTACAGATAACTAGTAATGAGTCTTAATAGGCGAATTGGTTGAAGGTGACTTTATAAACAACTATAAGGAATCGTTATAGGTGAATTTAAAATGTATTTTTCTGGTGGAAACCAAAATATTCTTTATTGAAAAATATGAATAAAATATATGATTCTTTAGTGTTCATGAATGACTTGAAATAAGTTTTGATATATTATTAGACTGTATCTATGGTTTACCGGAAAGGAGTGTCTGAAACCTGTATACATGCTCTTATTCTTGTCAGGATTGGCTTCCTAAAATGTTTGTAATTTGTCCGTTGCTTGCATGTTTGATTTATTCGTCTCCAATGCTTTATTTGTGGCCGAATATTTGAACGTTTTTTTATTTATTTATTTATTTTTTTTTTGTTTGCATGGTTTTGTTAGTCACACAAGATACACTTTCTAATATACAAAATTTCACAGAAATCAAATAGCTTATTGGATGCCATAAGGAACAGAATATTTAAGGTAATGCAATGCTCTATTTCAATTTCAATTCAATTTTAAATTATTTCATATACGAGAATCTAGCCCAAAGGGCCAAGAGTGATTGAAAAAACGTTCGTTTAAAAAAACTATTGAGAATAATTTTTTGAATAAATCTTTTAAAGTAGCCCTCTGCTCTACTTTTAAATAAACTTCAGTAAAACCTCTCGTAAAAGATAAGGAATACATGTGTAAAAACTATTGCATACTTTGAGGCATACATATAGATAAGAATTACTTTTGGTACATTTGCTGAATAGCAGTGTTTATATTATAAAATCACAAACATATTTATATAGCACTTTTTCGTTTCATTCTTCGTAATATTTTTTATGTATTTTTCTATAAAATAATAAACATGTTCATATCAATTTTTTATTAATTTCCCAATGCATATTTCCCTTTTTATTGTCTCTTTCCAGGCAGCTAGTGCCACAGATAAAGCAGCAATTTTAAAATACGGTCAACTGGTTGGCAAACCATTGGCTCATCGTATGCTCTATGTAAAAATGTAAAAAAAAAACAACCAAGACCGAGGAAATATTCATTTGAAATGAATACCAAAAAAACTCATTTATTATTCATATATAATATTATTTAAAATTAAAAACAAAATTAAAATTAAAAAAACTACAAACAAAAATTAAAAAAAGTATATATTAAATTTTATTGTTAATTATTATTTGTTAGAAAAAAAAATGAAAACTATTGTAAGACAATTTTAGTTAAATTGTGCTTCAACATTTAAATTAATTTAAATTAATAAATAAAACAAACATAAACAAATTAAATATAATTTTTTAATTAAAATGGATCATAAACAAAATATTTAAGTGGCATCACATCATTTGGGATGCAAAAATAACAACAACTTTCAACTTTTGTATTTATATACTTATTTCCTTTTTTGGTTATTTACAATAACTCCTTTCAATGTGTCTATAAATTATTATATTTGAACTACCTTCAAGTTCATTCTAGTACGGAAGCAATCTCTGCAAACATGACATTTGCTGCCTAATATAAACATCTCTCTTTTCACCAATTATGATGCTCTGCTAGTTGTTGTTGCTGCTGATAGTTCTTTATCATCGTATCGTTCCCCTCTTATCTTTATCATATTAACGCGTCTGTTTTGTTTTTTTTTAGGTAACCACCGTTAAAATCACAAACAATTACCTCTTTTTTTACAACTATAACACTAATAATAATTTAATTTAGATTTTCACAGACCTTATCAGTGTTTATCGGGTGCCTATCCAACAAACTCCGCTACAGAGATTTAAAACAAGAAACAAATAAAAAAATATAACCGTAAACTATACACATGGCATAATGCCAATAAAAGAATTTATGATATTCAATATCGTAAATGTGTTGAAAATACAAAAATAGAGGTAAATAGATTAAAAGAATTTATAAATCAATTTTTTTAATAAAGCGATCGTAACAAAAATCGACTGCGATTGATAAAACAATGATCGTTAGAATAAAATGTGATTATGACATAATTTTTATATAGAACAAAGTTCTTGAGATATATTTTTTATAGATCCATTTTCACAATTATATTGAGATAACATACGAGCATTTTTATTGGAAAAGAATTTGTTTATGAATGACTCTAAATGGAATAAAAAAAGAGTTTTAAAATGTATTGAAAATAATTGTTTATGAACGACTTGGAATTTATCGACGATTTTAAGAACTCTGTGGACGACTAAAGGAGACTTTTGTAGATGATTAGAAATGAATCTTTATAGGCGACTAGGAAGAAGAATGATTAGATTAAGAAGCATTTATCGGTTTGGTGGGTGTGTTTATAGGCAATAAAAACGGTTATTATAGACGATTGCGAAGGTATGCTTTTATTGACAACTAGGAAGGAATCCTTAAAGACAACTTGAAAGGAGCATTTATATATGACTAGTAAGGAGTCTTGTAGATTAATAGGAATGAGTCTTAATTGACGCCTAGAAAGTAGTCTTTATAGACATCTGCGATGGATTTTTAATTGATGAATAATAATAAAAAATAGTAGAAAACCTGAACGGAGTCTTCAAGTCTTTTTAGACGACTAGAAACGAGTCTTTATGGATGAATAGGAAGGAGTCTTTATAAATGAATCTATTTGAACGACTAGAAAAGGATCCTAATAGACGAACGATAAAGAGAATTAATAGACGACTTTGAAGAATTCATTATAGATGACTAGGAAGGAGTCTTTATAGAGGACTAGGAAGGAGTATTTATAGACGACTAGAAAGGAGTCTTTATGGATGACTCGGGAGGAGTCTTTATAGACGACTAGAAACGAGTCTTTACAGATGACGGGGAAGCAGTCTTTATAGAGGACTAGGAAGGAGTCTTTAAAGACTACTAGGAAGTATTCTCCATAGACGACTAGGAAAGAGTTTTTATAGATGACTAGAAAGTATTTTTATAAACGATTATGAAGGGGTATTTTTAGACGACTAGAAAGTATTTTTATAAACGATTATGAAGGGGTATTTTTAGACGACTAGAAAGGAGTCTTTATAGACGACTAGAAAGGAGTCTTTATAGACGACTAGAAAGGAGTCTTTATAGACGACTAGAAAGGAGTCTTTATAGACGACTAGGAAGCAGTCTTTATAGACGACTAGAAAGGAGTTTTTATAGACGACCAGGAAGGAGTCTTTATAAATGACTAGAAAGGAGTCTTTATATACGACTAGGAATGAGTCTTTATAGAGGACTAGGAAGGAGTCTTAAAATTCTAGCCTAGCACAAAAAACGCGGTATAAACCGAAAAAAGTTAAGTGTTTTGGAAAATTCCATTTCTGTTATGAACAAATGTTTAATTTTGTGTAGATCTGGCAACTCCTTCATATAGAAACAGGTGTTCAAAAAAGACGCATCCGCCATTTTTTACAATGGAAAAATTAGAAATGCGTGCATTAATTGTAAAAAATTGCGGAACACCTGTTTTTAATATGAAGGAGTTGCCAGATCAAAACAAAATTTAACATGTGTTCAAAATTTTTGAGGATTTTTAAGTAAACAGACAACATATTGTAACATTTGGTAACAATTGTTACCAAATATAGAGTAAACAGACATAGCTATTGTGAATTGATTTTCATTAGTAGTACGTTTACATTTAACCGGATTTCGTTAACCCAGTGGTTTCAATTGTCAATTCCTTTGCATATATTTCAAATAAATCCTCATAAAGTAAAAATAAAAAGTTCTAATGTACAAGGAGTTTAGGAAAACATAAACAAAGTCAAAATTCTTAATATTTGATTTGAAAAAAAAACAGCTTAAGATCTAACAGCAAGTGAAAGTCAGCTGTTGTTTCTTAAGTCTAATGTCAAAAATTTGCACTTTGTTTACGTTTTCATAATGGAAGCCAAGAAACAGCTGATATCCAGCTGGTCTCCCTGGAAGACCTTATTAATAGACCTTGTATGAAAACATTGGATCCCTTCAATACCGAAAGAGGATTCAGACAGGGTGACAGTTTGTCGTGTGATCTTTTTAACATCCTGCTGGAAAAGGTCATACGAGACGCAAAGGTGAACAGAAATTGCACTCTGTACACCAAACAATGTTCTGCGAATTACTGAGAATGCCCTGTAGAAGGGGAAGGCCACGAATCAGATGGAAAGACCAAGTAGAAAACACCATATTGAAACGTGGTCTTTCAAATTGGAGGAGATGCGCACAATACCGACGCGTTTGGAAACCTTTTTTAAGCTCGGCTTATGGAACAATCGTTCTGTTACAAACAAACTAAGTAAGTATGAAAACATAAACAACGTCCAAATTTTCGACATTAGACTTGAGGAAAAAAAGCTGAATTTTGAAAGAAGCCTTCCTAAATTAATTGAAAGTATTTTAGGGATTTATAAGTCGACTTGAAAGGATGATTCAAGGCCTATAAATAAGGTCATCCAAGGGTCATCTGGCTGGATATCAGCTGATTCTCAAGTTTACTGTCAAAATCCGTTAATGCGAATTGATTTTCATTATGAAAACGTTAACACAGTCCAAATTTTTGACATTCGTCTTGAGAAGAAACAGTTCACTTTCGCTAGATAGTTGACCTTATTAATAAATCTTGGACTTAATCGTCTGAAAACGTTTAATTGACAGTTTGGGGTGTTGGGTTTCCAACACGAACTCTTTAAATGGGAACATGTGAATTTAGAAGGCAACAATCCTTCGCCCTAAAAAGGCATAAAAATCATGAAAGGATTATGTTTCTAGGATATTGGAATAAAAAATGTGTTGCTGTTGTGTTATTTTAAGCTTGTTCAGTTTCTGATTCCACATGTAAAAGGTTGCAACCTGAATTGTTTGTGTCCATAGCGAAGATGAGGTTACGCGAATATGCTCGACTGGGCAATTGAAGAGGTGTCGTGTGAAACATTACCACATGTCTTACAGTTCGCAGTTGAGTCAAAACCATTCGGTATGTGTTGCTTTTCTATTATCTTCGGTGACGGATGTTCTGCCAGGGCTGTATTCACCCTGTATTCTTAAATTACTTTCTTAACTGCATCAGTGTGAATGCCAGCCTGCGATCTGTATAGATTGAGTCCACCCAGGAAAATGTTGTTAAGTGAAAAAGTTTGGCAGGGCAATTGAAGAGTTGTAGCTTGTGCCGGATAGATGTTACACACAATGCCGCCAATTCGCACCCAGTTATGCCAAAACCACTTTAATTTGTATCGATGGTTGCTGCTCTTATGTTGCCATCGATGACCTGTGTTCACCCTGTGTTATGTCCTCAACTGCAATTTAGTCCTATTTGATAGGGCTGTTGTTCTAGAGACTCTCTTTTATACCTCTGGTTCTGTATCTCAAGATCGCGAAGTTCCTTTCTGATATGCCTGGGCTTCTACGTTGGCGGGCCAGACTGGAGCCCCTTACGTTACCACAGAGCAGCCCATTGCTCTAATATGTCATTGGTGAAGCAGCCCTATTGCTTTTACAGAATGGGTTAAGGTGAGAGACGTTGGCCGAGCGAGATTCGGATCGGATACCCCTCTGTCGTAAAAACGCTTTCACGTGTAGGATTTTTTGGTGATTTTTTTTATTATTTTCCTTTGATGCAGGTTTGTCTGCTTTTGACGTAAATACGCAATTTTTGATTTAAAGTCACATTGAGATGATATTCAGTTTTTGGAAATCAATTAATTAAACCTGATTTTGGTTTATAATTTTGTTCGAACACCTTAAGTTAAATTGGTACATGTGACTTCAAGTGATTCATGGCTAATAATTTGCACCTTTATGACGGTTTTTGGGGAAGCAGTGAAGCGGTCAATACAAACGAAATTAATTTATTAAAAACAAAATGCTTAGAAAAAAGAGGGGATTTTCAAAAATACATGTATATATGTATATATTGAAACTAATTAACAAACTCCATATTTACTTCTAATCGAATAAAACAATAACTAATGCGGAATTTGGAAAATTAACATTTCGGCGTTAATTGAAGCGTTGAATATTGAAAATTCTATAAAATAAAATATGC